TTATAATTTACTACAAACAAATTCAGGTCAAATAATTATCCTGTGACTTATTCCATACGATAGAGAAATATAAAATATACATGGATATTTTTCTGTCTACATCTTAATAAAAATCTATTAAACAGAATTTATATTCAAAATTTTAATATAAAATTGAGAATGGAAATGGGGAATGTGTCAAAGAGACAACAACCCGCCATAGAACAGACAACAGCAGAATGTCACCAACAGGTCTTCAATGCAGCGAGAAATTCCCGCACCCGGAGGCGTCCTTCAGCTGGCCCCTAAACAAATATATATACTAGTTCAGTGATAATGAACGCCATACTAAACTCCAAATTGTACTATATTTACTTTTTTTTTTTATTATTGTGGCTTTATTTCGTTAGACCTTTTTTCCTTTGACCTTTTTCCTACATTCCGTAAAACACCCCACGTCAGCTCCTCCTCCCAGACTACTGAGATAAAACTGCAAACAATGACATAATCAATCAACAACCCTCTGTGCTTATTGACTTTATTTAAAACATTTCGTGTCAACTTGTCATGTACGGTGACCTATAATTGGTTACATCTACATCATTTTGTCTCTGATGGAGAGCTGTCTCATTGGCAATCATACTACATCTTACTGTTGTTATACATGTTATAAGGATTACTAATACCTAATAAATCTCGGAATTTACATGATAGCATTCAGTTGATCTTTACTTTTGACATAAACTGCCATCCAGCATTTTAGCTTTACAGAATATAATTGTCATTTTTTAACAACACTCATATTTCATCATTTTACTGCACCTTTGTAAATATAGTGCCGGAACTCTTTCTACCGTGTCACACATTCATGGGTAGTCTAGGTCTTTAAACACCTCCGTAGTGGTCTTCCGAGTGCAAAATACACACTGAAATTTCTAAATATATATATATATACTATATAAATAACGAGTTCCAGTATCGATTTCTTAATATCCCCACACTTTACAACCAAAATTCACTATGTATATATCAGACACGTATCGAAGAGAATTCACTATGTATATATCAGATACACATCAAAGAGAATTCCCAATTTTTAGATCAGATACATATCGATGTATATATCAGATACATCGGAGAGTCTCTGTATTAAAGAAGTCATCTTGAATTTTACTAAACAAACTAAATAAACTAAATACAGCTTTTATACCTTGAGTTAACAGCATTTTCTAAGTATTTGTAAAAATACCATACAATTCTACAATATACCATATGATATATAAATTCGTTACATAACACGATAAACTCTTCATTAATGGTTCATTTCTCTTCTAGTTTGATGAAAAACCGATAATATCATATTCATAAAACAATTATTCAGTAAAATGCAAGGTTTCTTTCATAATCATGAGGCATGGATACAAATACATGCATTTCATTAACATATTGGTTTTCCGATTTGTCAGTTTACATTTTTATCTTAGTTTGTAGTATGTGTAAAAACTGTTGTTATAATTGAATGAAACAGACTTGTGGGAAAAAAATAATAGAACGAATAATTATTTGTATTTATTATTGTAAGCTTTATGGTGTTTTAAAATTGTGATGTTTCTACGGAACGATTTTCTTCAATACACTAGACCAGTAAATATATTTCAATTTGTAAGTTATAATTTTTATCAAACAGATTCAGAACTAATGAACTTTGATATGTATAAACTAGTATACGCTGTACTGAAAATATAGCAAGAGAGAAACAAAATGATTTTCAATTAATATTTATAAAAAGAAATGAGACAACTCTCCACTAGAGACCAAATGACACAAAAGTTTACAACTATAGGTCAGAGTATACATTTGTTTTGTATAAATTTGTTTATAGTTTATTTTATAATAAATATTTGCATATAATATCTGCGATTTCCGTTATTTGTTGAATTCCTCTTGTAACGCTGTTTGTGTCGTCTGACAGATTATAATAAAGAATTTGCACTTTCGCAACTATTGATGTTTAATGTCCAGAGTTGAATGATTTCCAAGCAACACATAAAAAATTATTTAAGCGACAAGCGATTGTATGATGGCCACTAACGGCGCGATTCCTAATTCTCATTCTAAGAAAAAAATACCATCGATCATGTAAACATTATCTTGTTACCTTTATGTTTTATTACCAGGCTCTGACAAGTTAATGAACGTTTAATATGCACATGACATTGTCTGATATATATATGTCTCCCAAATTGACCAATGATTACATGTCGAGTATAGGACTATGGCAACACTTGTCTACTGTCAATCAAAATATAGTAATAGAATGCTCCGCCCAGGACACAAATTATGAAATGAAAAAAATCATAGGTTGCATAAGCAAAGATGTGCTCATTTTTTAAAACATTTTTCGTCCTAGATCTGGTGAGGCATGCAGTTATTTAATAAAATAAATGTGCGTTTTTTGTTAACGTACTGTCAATAATCAGTAAACTTACGAAAGGTAGGACACATTTTATTTATTTCATACGGAAATCTAAATAGCGCACCGTTGTGAATTAATTATACATATAATATTCCTTTTAATTTTTAAAATAACTTTATATGTGTATAAGATGCTGTACTTGCTTTATTATATTATACATTTTGTTACAAAATTATCAAGCCATTTTAAATGATGTTTGCTGTTTAAAAAGTTCGAATGAATCGTCTACAGACCAAAATAATTTCAGAGGAATGAAGTTTTCCTGTTTAATCTCGTTAAGGGTTTATATGGTTGCAACACACGATTTTTGTTTTCGGCCTTTTCAAATGTTTGATCCTAAGCTTATTTAAAGAAGGTTATTTATTCTTCGTGTAATTGAAAATAAGCGGTTACTTATAAAATCAAACTTTTTTATTTTCAAAATTTCCAAGCTCAGTTGTTACTAAATCAATTTAAATTGGTAGTATTTTATTCAACTAAAGGCACAAAACTTATATTTCAATGTCATCCCTAATTTCGATAATAGATAAAAAAAAGAAAAAAAAAGAGTAAATTTATCCAATACTTCATTAAATATTATTTGTTTATGTTCATTTAACTTAATATAAAGTCTCAGTTCACACAAATACATATGTTTGCATAAAATAAGTCAGGGCTGATATGTATAAAACCACTTAAGTTAAGATATCCAATCAAAGTACTAATTTATCGTACATAACATGTAGAAAAATCCGTCCGTTCGGAACTATTCTTAACTTAAGTAGTTTCATGCATATCCGCCCAGAGTTTTATATAAGAAAAAATAATTTACGGAATATTAAGTTTATATCTGCATGAATTGTGTATATAGTTTTGGACTGAGGGTTAAAATGAGTTTAAGTCAGCTGGAATATTTGTCTACTTCCGTTTGTTGTATATTTTATTTGTATAATAACCGGTCTACAGTATGTAGTTCCTGACACTGGCGTAGGAGCCGGTAGGATGGGGGCAATGGGGAGAACTATGTTTCCCCTCACTTTTGAGAAGATGAAATAATTATTGAAAATGAAAACGGACACTTACTGACTCACTTCTAGACTATACTGAAAGACCATAGACAAGGTTTTCTTGTCTAGCTTGCATCTTTCAAAAATTGCCCCCTCCTAATATCCATTCTACTCCTACGCTACTGGTTCCTGGTAACATTTTTATACCCCGATCACACGACACAACAAAATCGGATTTCGCAAATCGATTTGACAACGTTCCCATATAATCCGGATCAAATCCGTATTTGCGATTTTAGAGAAAATAATTTGAGGTAAATAGTTTGACGTTCGATTTCAACCAACATCGGATTTAAGTCTGAAATAAATCTACGCGTGTCTTAAATACAAATTCAAATCTTAACTATATCAGTGCGCGTACTTCCAGTTTACTATTTTTGCGTCAGAAAATCACGTTCATGCGATGATTAATATGCATTACCCCGACTCATATGCGTAAGTCAATTAAGGTTAATAATAACATATTACAGATTTGAATGTAGCATCATGAACAGGGTATTAGGTGCGGATCCAGGATTTTCAAAATAAAATGGGGAATGCAAGCCAACGTTCGGATTGATACGTCTGCCTCCTGCCCCTCCCCCACTTAATACGCTTCTTGGTTTAAGAGAAACTCATTGGTTCACCATCGTCGTTTTATTCTAAGTTATGAGAAAAAGTTTTGCAAATATTTCTCTGCCTGCCTTTTTTTGCTCTGGATATTGTTGACAGCAGCTGCCCCTTCTTTTCTCTCTTTCGTTAATGGTTGCCGAACGTCCAGCGGTTAATATTAATATGTCTGGTATATACAGGACGATTTTATTGAATTAATAACAAATCACTAATTATCTGTCAGAACGCGTTTTAATAAATATTCTATTTACAATGAGTACAACCAATTTAATACCGTTAAACGTGTTTGCACATTTATTGTGATTCTATCACGTGGACTATAAACATCTTAGGTAAGTTATGTATGTCTCAAAAATAAGTTATGTAACTCCTCGGGGCAGATTTCACGTTACAAATTCAAGGTCAGATATATATTCTTTGTGTTTCACATTTAGTGTTTCACGTATAATTACTATAACTAAAGTCTGTTTCATTGTTTTATCCAACGTCTTTCGGAGCCCACGAGTAGATAGTTTTTTATAGATTTTTTTAACTTGGCTATAGATTTAAAGATCATTATGTAAACTGTACTCAGTTCGACATTCTCAAAGGGCAAAAGTTAAGCACTTCGGCATACAATATACTTCATTGTTATACATGTATTTTGTTGTTTTGCTTGGGTTGATTTTTTTGATTTTTTTTTGTATTTCCGCATTCTCCTTATGTGCGAATTATTTCAAATTATGGGCAAACAATTGTAAAGAAAAGAGAAAAATAGATAGAAATAAAAATAGAATAGAGAAAAAAGGTCCGAAGTTAAAGAAGTAAGAAATGAAGGACCCCATTCAGACCCTCATGTACAAATCTATGTATTTCTGAACTGGATACATTAGTCTTAGATACGACTTTTTTCAGTTAATATACTAGAAATGGAAGTATTACATGTTCAAATTCATAGCCATTAGGTGGATGCATTGTTTACGCTCCTCAGACGAAGGGAGACAGACAACTTTGAAACGGTTTGTTATGGATGTATGATTAAAATAATATTTTTTTATTTATTAAACTGAAATATGTGTATGTTCAGTACAAATTGTGAAGCAAATTGAAATATTATGAAACATTTTCGAAAAGGCTTATTATTTTTACATTAAAAAAAAAAACAACACGAATTTGAAAGTACACAAGGTCTTCATTTTGATTTGATGAACCAAAAAGGTTCTGGAAAACCGTTTCACGGGTAAAACAGACAAGACACATTAAGACTTATATTTGTTGAATTTCGAGAAAATAATACCTTCAGAAGTGTTCAATTTTATTTTAGGCGTAATTCCAAACACAAATTACGTTGCAAGTTTAATTTGGATGTCACACACGTGTACCCCATGTTTATTTGAAATAAGAACAAAATGCAAGCAGAGAATAAATATAAGAAACGTTTTCAATACTTTGACATACATGTTATAATGTAAAACAAATAAACATAATATGTTTTTACACGATTCATTATTTTCAGGCTTATAAAGTGTAACCTGAGTGTCTAGCGGCAAAGATGATGCAAGGAGGGCATGGCCCGATGGGAGGCCCTGGCGGAAGCCAAATGGTACGTTTTCCGTATTGACTGCGATACACTACAAAAAATAAACCTTGTGTGATTGAAGGGTGCTTTCCAATGAAACAGAACCCAACAACTGTTCAATTAAAAATCGCTAAATGTACTAGTAATTGAAAAGTTACAATATTAGATAATATCTATCCGCGTTTAAATGTGTACCGCAGTTCGGTAGTCTTTTCATAAGACTTTTATACTGCATAGTAACAAAGGTACGGCGTAACAATCTTATTTTTCACAAGAAAGAAAGAGCTCAGATATTCCATATCCCATTGATTAAAAGACTAAATAAACCAAAACATGCTAAGAAAGACCATAATTAATTATTTGTTTAAAAGTATCCACATACAAACTCATTTTTTTTCTTTACACGTGATAATTAATTTATTGCATTAAAGCTGCACACAAACACATTTCTATAAACTGTCGTATTATCTATGTTATAAAAAGAGATGTATCAATCGGACACATTCGCTGATTGTGTATTGAATTTAAGCAAGAACATCTCGTTGTAGTCTTAGATATTTGCTTCTGAACTATGGACATGTACTTTTTTATGCCTTTTCAAAAAGATAATGTATAGTAATTCAAATTCATGGGAAAAGCTAGTTCTGTGTTTGGGAAACCAACATTTGTTTACGTTTTTGGCAGATATAAATGTTAAGGTTTAGAAATGTTGAAGAAATAAGAAGAATTTGAACTCAAAATTTTCCGTAGCTTACATGAGACGATCATAGATATAAGAAGATGTGGTATGAGTACCAATGAGACAACTCTCCATCCAAGTCAAAATTTATAAAAGTATACTTATTTCTGGACAATGTTACAAAATATAAAAGAAAGTTAGAATACACAAAGCGAGCATACATATAATGAAATGGTTTTTTTTTTTGTTATCAGCAGGGACTAATGGATGATGAGGATAGTAAAGCATTAATGGATGAAGCCCGAGAGTGGATGGGTGATAAGGTTGATGAAATGGGACCAGGGAAAGACATGAATCCTATGGACCAGTTACCTCAACCGAAATCAAGACGGATAAATATTGAACCATCTAAACAGTAATTAACATCAATATATATTATATTTATTTATGATGCAAATCATTATACGTTCTTCTTCTTCTTCCAAGTAAGGAACCGAATTCATATACGAATGTGTATGGTCCCGCGAAATCTTATAGTTATGGTGTAAAATTTAAATTGCGAGATATGTATTGTCTTGCAGGGAGCAGTCCATTTAACTTTGAAAATGAGGCTTAAATTTAATATTTCATTTTGGTAAACATAAAATCGAATTTATTCTGGAAAAGTCAATTGTTTTTACTGGGTCAAATTGAAGGGTTTGACACGTACAGATTTGTATTTTGTACGTCAGTCTGTCACACTTGTCTCTTCCGCATATTTAAGAGATGCTTCGATCTATCGGAAAGACATTTAGTCATATCATAAGATGTATTAGATTCAATTTGACTTTCTTACTGTTTGAGCGATTTTTGCGAAAATTGCGACCCTGGAACATTGAAAATTGTAAAATATTTTGTTTATTTTTGTTTTAATGTTTGAATCAAATGTAGATATTTAGCAAAAAGTAATATCCTATGAAGTCACTCATAAATCAAGTTTTAGTTTCTTTTCGGTTCTGCGATTTTTTGCCGAAATTGTGGCCTTTGGACATTTTAGTTTTCAAATACAAAATTACCCTGCCTGTGATTCTTCAGAGGATGGGTCGGGCATAAGGTTTTCGATGAAACATCGTTATAATATAACATACATATTATTTGTATTTGCATCTCAAATTACTTTCTGACAAAATCAATGTTTGTTTGTTATTTGTTTGTATTTACATTTGAACTGCCATATTTTTTTTAGATCCGGTCTAGATTTAGATAACGCCATTGCTATAGTCGGTGTTGGTGGAAAATTTCCTGGAGCGGAAACTGTTGATGATTTTTGGCGTGTTCTAGTGAATGGGGAGAACCACGTGGTTGAAATCCCGCCAGAAAGATGGAATGTCGAAGAATATTATTCAGCAGATTACGACGAACCCGGTAAAACATATGTCCGTAGAGGTGGATTTTTACAAAAGTATGTATATGTTTGAGATGCAGATAGATATTGTTACGATTCAATAGAAATTTTCAAATTTTTTTCACAAAACTCTAATTAGCAGTGCTGATTTTTTTAAGTATTAATTTATAACAGAAAAACGTAAAATTTTAGCTAATATTGACGCAATTATTCACTAAGTACAAGGTATTCCATGGTGACTGGTGTGTAAATTTCAGAGGCTTTTGTATATAAATGAGTTTTTCGTTTTAACTTTTCAATTATACGGGGATCTTGAATACTTAATGTCGTTAAACTATACAATGTATTTATTATTTACAATTAGTATGCATTTGTAATTATAAGGATGTGTGATGATTTTTTAGACTGGGTGAAAACTATGTTATGCATTAAATTAACCCTTATCGGGGGATTGCATAGAAAACAGACATGGGGTAATTGAAAAATGTAATATTAAATGACCGTAATTAATTACAATTTTTTAAGTAATTGAATGTAATATGTAATTGAGCATTTTTTCAATTACAAGTAATTGAAAGTAATGAATAACATAACCAAAATTGTCTGTAATTGACAATTACTTTTCAATTACAACTCAATTACATTTGAAATATAGGATCAGAAAGATTGACTCTTGTGTTTTCTCAAAAAATAGTGAAAAGCCATGACCTAAGTAAATGTAGTTAGCTGACAAAGCAAAGCCTACACAGTATATTTTTTGTAATTACACAAACATGGGAGATTCTTTATTTTGTATTGAATTGACAGAAAAGAAAAAGAAAGATTGTAAAAACATGCCATAGTTTGTGTTTAAAAGAAACCATTAGTAAGTCACTGTCTTAATAGATATTGTTAGACATTGTTTAACATAATCAACTTCGATATAGTCAATCAATAAATATAACCTCTGACTATTTGTTTTATTTTAAACTTTATAATGACTCTTTTTACAACAGTTATGTTTGCATGTTATACAGGTGTTAAGCCAATTAGAGAGAGATAAATATACCCTGAGGTACATGATTGTTTTGTAAAATCAGGCTTTCTAAATCGTTTCTTTAGGGAAAATAATTTTAATAAATTGTGATAGAAATAAAAAATCATTTCAAAATATTAAAATTAGGACTCTCTTGTTGTTTAAAATATAAAATTTCAATGGGTAATTAAAGCAAAATTTAATATTTTCAAAATATTGAATAAGACTTTTTATCATTTTGAGCATTGAATTAAACCAGACCTCAAGTCCTAAGGATTCTTGATTGACAAAGTTTTTTATGTGCTCTTCAGATTTATGTATGTTTTTTCTTTATTTCCGTAACATACCAGATATCTAACTTTTACTCTTCTTTGATACTGACTGAATTTTAAAATAGTTGCTGTAGATCTCATTTGTTATTATTATACAGCAATGTAAGATACGTATGTACATATCATAAAATTAATGCATGTTTTCAACATTTTATCTAAATTTTCCTTTCAAAAATAATTAAAGTAATTAATTACATTTGCCAAGTAATTGAAAGTAATTATTTACATTGGTGAAAAAAGTCACATGTAATGTGTAATTTAATTGAACATTTTGTGATTGTAATTGAATGTAATTAATTACTTTCGAAAGTAGTTGACCCAATGTCTGCTAGAAAAAGTTGTAAACTTATTTAACAACTACAAAAAAGATATTGCAGCAACAAAATCGAAATGATAAAAGCATTAAAATCTTAATAACTGACAAGGTTTTTACTTTGCTGTGGGTTTAGACTTGTGGTTTGAGTATCAAACGCATTACCATTAATAGCGATTTTTAGAATACCAAGAAGTTGAAGTTGAAGATTAAAGATAAATTCGTGTGTCAAAAACATATGTCCTGGCTCCATGAAAAAAACAATTAATTCATTAATAGCGGTATAACAGAGGACAAATGTTGGTTTTTTCAGCTTTGATGAGTTTGATCCAAAAATGTTTGGAATTAGTGAACCGGAAGCAGCTAAAATGGACCCTCAACAACGATACATTCTTGAGTGTGTTCACATGGCACTTGAAGATGGTGGTTTAATGAGAAAAGATATTCAAGAAACTCGGACTGGTGTTTATATTGGTAAGTCGACCATGAAACACCTTTAGTATAATGCAATGTGTTTAAATTGTGTGCAATACAACATTATTGCATTGTCGGTAAACCCTGAAAATTCTATAATCCGCCCTGTAATTGAAGATCCATCTGAAAGAGTTGTTTTCCATTAGACGGACACACATTTTCCTGGAAAATTAAGAGCTAGCGGAAAGAGCAAATTTATATGTGCGTTATGTATTTAATCGTTAAGCTTTTCAAATCTTACATTAAATTGCATTTAATCTTTTGTTAAGATAAACTGGGATACAAATAGGTATTTCTTTATATTAGAAATTGATAAAAACGCCCAAATATTACTTTCAACTTATCATGTTTAATATAAGCAGCGATCCACTTTGTCCTGATAAGAATCAGTCTTCATATAGTGATGCTGAATGTCAAAAAGTTTGCAATATGGTTAGGGGCCAGCTAAAGCCCGCCCCGGGTGCGGGATTTCCCCGCTGTTTTGAAGACCAATTGGTGGCTTTGGACTGTTTTCTGCTCAATTGGCAAATGGACACAACTTGTGGTGTTAAAAGTGTGTTAATAACAGAATTAAATCGGCGATATAGACAACTATACATCAATAATTGTTTGTTGCAGGAGTTATGAATGACGATTACAAAAGTTCTGCTACAGAAGATCCAGCAGTTGCCAGTAACTACACACTGACAGGGACTGCTCCAAGTATTATAGCTGCTCGTATATCCTACGTTTATAACCTCCTTGGTCCATCCATGTCTATAGATACTGCATGTAGTTCATCTCTGGTTGCTATACATTTAGCATCACAAGCTCTGAAAAGTGGTAAGTCCATATACAAATTAGAAAATTTGGTATGATTGCCAATGAGATAACTATCTAACAAGAGTACAAATGACGCGGATGAAAGCAAGTATAGGTCACCGTTGAGTTACCATGTATCTTTTTATTCAGTTGACAATGTTAAATGTCAAGCCAAATTTTCAACACCTTTTACAATCAAACCGAAAAGAAAAAAACAGACAATGTTAAAAGATACGCATTGATAATACGTTAAAAAGGCCATATATTTTGACGTTATTTTGTAACACCGAATATCGCTCCAGTTTCATTACATACATTCTGAAAATTAACTGTGATACATATTTTCGTTAGGTGATTGTACCATGGCGATCTGCGGGGGAGTCAATAGTATTCTGTATCCAGATATCCTTATTCCCCTGTCAAAAGCAAGAATGGTATCGCCCATAGGACAGTGTCAAGCCTTTTCTGATACAGCGGATGGATATATACGAGGCGAAGGAGGTGGAGTCATTGTCCTCAAAACTCTGAAGGATGTATGTATATGTGATTTAAGATAGGTGCCGATTTTTTAAAGAAATATTCTGCAGCAGGTCTCAAGGACGAGGAGGGCTGGATACTATAACTTATCACTCTGCCAAATGATACAGTACCTGCCTCAAGTTGAGTTTTCGGGGACTGTTTATGATTTTATCTTGATTGAAATTCATCAACTGTGTATCCTGCAATGACACAAAATCATTACATGCACAGCAAAAAAACAAAAAAGCAAGAAAATACCGCGTTCATTGCTGTTCTCCATCTCAAAATCACAAGGAGGCTTTCTTTAGCATACATGTACTTTGAATTATTTGACGGTAAATTTTCTAAAGTACTACTTGTTTTCAGCTTACGTAGACTCTGAAAGGTTAAGATATTTACACATGATATAGCCACTTGCCTCGTTTTGATTTGTACATATCCATTCTGAATACCAGATTAGTATCAATGTTAAAGTTTAATGACATCATGCATATTTTATTATAGGCAAGAGCTGATGGTAACAAAATATGGGCTACCATAGCGACAGGTTGTAACCAAGATGGTAGAACAATGACACCAATTACAGCGCCATCTATACAGATGCAGACAGAATTGCTACAAGAAGTTTATGAAAAGAACAATGTCAGCCCAGACTTGGTGCAGTATATAGAAGCTCACGGTAACTATAAATTACCATGGTGTACTTCAAAAGTAACTCATGTTCTGACTATGTTGTGTAAGCCTCTCAATTTTTTTTAAAGAAATGGCGTCAACTCTGAAGTACAAGCTATTGTCTAAAGACTCCGAAACAGTTTACTAATTTTTATTTCGATTAATGTAAATGCAGACGCATAGCTACTGCCTTCTTTTCAACAAATATCAGTTTTTGAGGGAGCGGACAAACAGTACGATAAAAATTAACCAAGCAGTTACTTTTCACAACTTTTCTACTGTTTAAATTGATAGTATTGGAATATTTGTATTGTATTAATTTGACCCTTTCATCAATTACCGTGTAAATGAATGTAAATATTGCAATACGATCTTTGATTTTATCTTTATGGGGGTATTTTAGAGGATTGTTAGTCCCTTTTCGATGTTTCAGATAATATACTTATGATTTGTTATGGTAGGAACTGGTACACCTGTTGGAGATCCAATTGAGGCCAACAGTTTGGGTGAATTTTTCTCTCAATACAGAGAAGAAGGGAAAGAGGCACTAAAAATAGGATCAGTTAAAACAAATATCGGTCACCTAGAATCAGCAGCTGGGGTAGCTGGAATCGTTAAGGTTCTTCTTATGATGAAGCATGGAAAAACCGTTAGATCTCTTCATTTTGAGCGACCAAACCCAAAGATTGACTTCCCAAAATACAACATGGCGGTTTCAATCGCTGTTGAAGATTGGCCTACATTGAACGACGGAACAAGAATGAGCTGTGTAAACTCGTTTGGATTTGGAGGTACAAATAGTCACGCAATTATAAAACAGTTTCCACTTGAAGATGTGCAAGAGACAGATGAAGATACCAAAGAAAAGTACATTGTCTTTCTGTCCGCTCTGGACAATGGTGGCCTTACAAATAGCCTTCAACATTTCATACATTGTCTCAAAGACACATCAGTAGACAGCCTAAAGAGTATTGCATACACTAGTTCTTGCAGACGTGAGCACTTCAAGTACAGACTTGCTTTCGTGAGTGAATCAAAGGAAGATCTCCGCCAAAAAGCAGAAGGACAATTGAAAACGATTGAAAGTGTTCGACCAGCTGGTTTGAACCCACCAAATGTTATTTTTGTGTTTTGTGGTGTTGGAACAACTTGGACTGGAATGTGCCAAGAACTTTTGCAAAGTGAAGCAGTGTTTAGTGAAACTGTAAAAAAAGTGGACGAATTATTGGAACCTTATACTAAATGGTCAATTTATGAGAAATTGAAAGATGCAGCAGACTTGACTGAACCATTGGTTGGTCATCTGGCAATTTTTACTTGTCAAATTGGATTGACAGAGCTTTGGAAGTATTATGGCATAGAACCAAAAGTTGTATTGGGGCAGTCTGTCGGAGAAGTTGCCGCTGCATATGCTTCAGGTTGTCTATCTCTTGAAGATGCTGTCAAGGTTATATATCACAGATCGGCAATCTTATCAAGAGCAACAGGAGGGTCCATGTTTGTGGTTGGCAGTAGCAACACAGAGATGGTAGACGAGTTATGCCAGGAGTATGATGGAAAAATAAACATTGCTGTGTACAACAGTTCAAAATCCTCGACCGTATCCGGTGATACTGATGTTGTCAATGAAGTAATGCAAAAGCTGAAAAAGAAAAGTGAAGAAGAAGACGAACCCATTTTCTTACGACCACTTCATGTTAAATGTGCCTATCACAGTCACCATACGGAAAAATCCAGCATTGATCTAGAAAATGCCCTTCATGGGTTATCTGGTACAACACCTACAGTGAAGTTATTTTCTACTGTGACTGGTGAGGTAGCCACTCCTGAACAATTTGTTACGGCTTCATATTGGAGGGAAAATGTCAGAAAACCTGTTTTTTTTCAAAAAGCAGTCCGAAATGCTGGCCTGCTTAATACTATAAATATATTTGTCGAAATTGGCCCAAAGCCTGTTCTAAGAACACATTTGAGTGATAGTTTCGCAGAAGGAAAGGCAATTAGCTTGCCCTCTATGAACGTGAACTCAGAATCATCCTGCATAATGGATTCACTTGCAGAGTTCTACAAAAATGGTGTGAATCCTGAAATGGAACGAATTAATCCATACACTGCTGTAATATCCGATATACCGAAGTACATACCAAACAGAATGAAATCATTATTTGAAGCCGACAGCACGAAATTAAGAAAACAAGGTCGAGGAAGATTGGCATCAGCCCATCCATTTGTAAAACGACAGTCCGACGATAATACACCTTTCAAAATAGACATCAGTACCACTTCTACTCCTTATGTTTATGAGCACAACGTAGCAGGAAATATTTTAGTCCCTGGAGCGTTGTATGCGGAAGTGGCGTTGGAAGCTAGTAAAAGTCTGCTAGAGCAGTCGCCTTTTAATTTGGAAATAGGAGTGGATTTTCAAAGACCTCTCCGTTTATCACCAGGTAGCCCCTGTGAAGCCTTTGTAATGCTAAAGTCGTTAGAGCCATTGAAGAGCATGACCTTTACGATACAAACAGGAAATGACATCATAGCACGCGGAACATCAAGATTGATAAATGAAGATGTAAAGGTAAATTTTGTTGATATTCAGAAGATAAAAGAGAGATGCAAAATATTTCATCCCAAAGACCAGACATATGAAACATTGAAAACACTTGGCTTTTCATACGGTGATGACCTACAAATCCTAGGTGATGGATATAAAAATAGAACTGAATGTCTTGTTAATGTGACCTTGTCAGAGTTGCTGATCAAAGATTTGAATACAACAAATATTCATCCAGCAATCCTCGATGGCCTTTTACAAACGCCTGGAATCATTTTTGAATTGATGGAGGAAAGACCTTCTGGACAACTACTTCCTGCAGGATTTAAAAAGCTTATTTTACGACGATCTCCAGAAAAACATATGTTAGCATACATGAATTTGACATCATTTTCTAAGGATGAAATTTTGTATAACCTACTTTTACTCCAACCTGATGGCATTGTAGTGGCTGAGGTTAAGGACTTTACGATTAGGGCAATTGAAAAGTCAGAGAGACACAACGGTCAAATTGCACACAAAATAGTTTGGACAGAAGTTGACTTGCAAGAAGACAACAAAAAAACTTCTAACGACATTGCACTATTAAATGACAAAGACGAACAATATGATGAAGAATCAGATAAGAGCTCTTTTACATGTAAAGCAGATACAGAAATTATCAAGGATGACTATGACAAACAGTCAAACAGTTCAGGCTATTCAAGCGAGAAAAAAGACCAAGATAAAGACAGATGCTCCAGTTTATCAAGCAATGAAAAGGGAGACTTGGACAAAGAATTTAGTTCAAGCGAAGATGAAGAAAAAGATGTAAAAAAGGACGAGATATCGAATCCACGAAAACAAAGAAGGTTTATTTTTATTTCCCGGGATGAAAGGACAAAGCAGACATTTAAGGAACATGTTTATGGTGATATTGAAATTAGCTATTATATTGCCCATAATTCAACCAATATCATCGAAGACATATTGGAAGAACATTTCAAACCCAGCGAAGCTGAATCAATGAAAGACGATAAAGAAACATGTATTATCTTTGCAAATGGAAGAATGAAAGAAGAATATACGACAGATGGTACCGTTTTACTCGATGATTTGGTCAACAACTGTGATCTATTACTGACAATCTTAAAGTTCATGTCAGACAGACAAGATTCGGTTCCAATCTACATATTGACTCAAAGTACTCAATCACCCGATGTATCAGGCCAGTTTAACCTTGTCGGATCAGAGCTATGGGGATTTGTTCGATCAGTACTTAGGGAACAGAGTTTCAAGTTGTACCTCATCGATATAGATCCAAGCTTCAAGGAATGCATGAAACAGTTGCTTACTGTTCTCAAAGGTAACAATAAAAGACTAGAAATACCAGAAATTGCCATCAGGAAGAAGAAAATATATGAAAACGAATTTGTAACGCAACCAGATTCTGAAAGAATAAAAACTCCAAAAGTCAAATCAATTGACAAGTATTGTGTAGCAGAATACAGGAGCAATCTTCCAGATGTTTTGAATGATACATTCTACTCTTTACAGGAGATGGATGGAGATATATTTGATCAATCCGTCTTACTGCAGGTATCGAAAGCATGTCTACACAACAATTCGTTATACCCTTTGACTTTCGAGAATGCAGTGGAAGCAGTGACTATATGGCCACAAGATCATAAAGATGGTTACGGAGTTCTCACGTTTGAAGTTGTTGGCAAACGAATAGATAAACAAGAAAAAAAAGACAAATCGGTGAAAGAATTTGTAGCATGTTATCCACTTAAAATTCAGTCTGTTGTAAACGTTCCTAAATCATGCACGGTATGTCTGACAGATTTACAACCATATGTTCCCGGCATGCTTTGTACTACTTCTCTTTTATGGGAATTAGTTAGCAAGTTACCATCAAAGAAAAACTACCTTATTCTTACTGACAATGAAAATGAGATGTCTGCAATTATCTTAAAAAATCTAATCGCATCTAGACGATCGGGACCGGCTATGGTGTTCAAATTGGAGGAAATCATGTCACCTGACCAAATATCATCAATAGTTATCCCATTGATGAAAATAGATCTTCAGACGATACATGGATTTTTAGAAGTAGCTAAACACGTGACAATGATTGCATCTCTGAGACAGTTCCTACCTTTGCAAATTGAGCGTTATGTGGCTGCCCGTTCAGCCCATATTCAATTCGTGACTGTTGATGTTGATGAGGTTTTGTCAAAAACCAAACTCCCACAGATTGTTCCAACAGTCATCAATTGGCTGAAAAAACAGAAACATAAACTTTTGGCCAAAGATCAAATTAGACTTGAACCTTCTGACACTACTTTACTACCATTTCCAAGTAGTGTTGTAGACGTTACTGGATCAAGCAATGCACAGATGTGCGATATTAGAATCCCAGAGAATCTCATTTTCAGGAAAACGGCTGTATATATTATTATTGGTGGAATGACAGGTCTTGGATGGGAAATAACAAATATGTTGGCAGAACGGGGAGCTGGATTCATTGTCAGTTTATCAAGGAGAGAACCTTCAAATGAGAAACAAACTAAAATCAAGGAAATGTCAGACCGTTATGAATGCTATATTACAACTATGCAAACTGATATAACCAGTATAATGTCTCTCCAAGAGTCATTTGATCGAATTATATCAGAAGCACCCTATCCAATAAAAGGTATTTTCCAGGGAGCTGGTGTTCTTGATGATGCTCTATTTATATCCATGACAAGAGAAAAGCTACAAAAGGTATTAATGCCAAAAGTTCTTGGGACATGGAATTTACATATTGTCTCTGAAAAACTGTCTCTAGATTATTTTGTCATTCATTCTTCTATGACATCTGTATTTGGTAACGCAGGTCAAACCAATTACGGAGCTGCAAATGCTTTTCTTGATTCGTTGGCTCACTATCGTCGATACCTTGGTTTATGTGGACAAAGTATAAACTGGGGTCCTCTCAAAGTAGGCATGGCCATTAATGATGACAGCCTTGAACAAATTTTAGAGAAAAGAGGACTACTTTCATTAAGTATACCAACCATTAGGAAAAGTTTAATAGAAGTCTTGAAGAATACCTGCCCACAAGTGACGTATGGCGTTTTTGATTGGGATGTAATAGCATCTGGACTTATTTCGGAGGACATGTCCCTTGTACAGTATAGATTTAGAGGTTTTGTCGACAAAATATTAGAACAAAGAAGATCTAAGCTAAATTCAGCACAACTGAACTTTGACCTCAATGAAATAATGTCTATACCAAGAGCAGAGAGAATGGAAGCCATTATAAAAGCCTTGTTTATTCTGGCAAGCGATGTATTTGGAGTAGAACATTCACTGCTCAATGAAGACACGCTAATATCAGCTTTGGGTGTTGATTCTATGCTTGCAATGACGTTCGCACAAACAGTCCTGAAGGTTATGCATGTCAAAATTTCTTTAGTTATGTTGCTGACAGACGGAACAACAATGATGGCATTAGCAGAAGCAATAAATGACAAACTTGAAAATGGTAATGCCGAAGAGGAACCAAAAGTAAGGGAAATTGATACTAATGTCGCAAACTCTATGACACCTTACGAAAAACGAGCTTACAATGGTCATATGAGGAATAAATATGACCCATCTTTATACATGTTTGGGGATATTACTGTTGATAGTGTCATAGCTATGCCAGAATATTGGAAACCCTTGATTGTGAAAATTCATCAAAAGTATCCTGCTCTGCGGACACTATTCATACCAGGCCATGATGACATTAGATATGGTGTCAAACGAGTAATTCTGGAACCGGAAGAGGTGGAAATAGACTTCCGCATTGTTGAGAAATCTCTCCTACTTCACAAAACAAGACATCCTCCAAACATAGATGACTATCTGTTTGACCCAGCAACAGACCTACCAATGAGGGTTTTCTACGCCAAGAAAGGTCGACAAGCGATCATGAGATTTTTATTCAACCATTTAGCACTGGATTTGCATTCCATCTCGATGATGATGAGGGACCTTCGACCAGACGCCCCTAATGAAGACCCTACAGACCCAGTAGATATAGCACTGCATATTGAAAGACGATTGATCGATGATGATGTGGAACTTAGAACCTTCTGGCAAACAGTAATTCCAGAAAATCTTCAACCAATGTCCCTGTCTGTAACAGGGGATTTAACAACAGATCCAAACTTCTTTGAGTTTACTCGAGTACGAGTACCTGACAAAGTAGCAACAGGGATAAGACCTCTGCTTGAAGCTAACAAATGTACCCTGTTTCACCTTTTTGCCACTATGTTTGAAATTCTACTACACGTTGAACTACGCCAGCCAACAGTAGCTATTATGACAACCATTGACTGCCGAATGTTTTTCCCCGAGTTGAAGAGAGAGGCCAACCGTTTTACAAATCGTATACCGCTATATCAAGAATTCGAAGATAGTTCAATACAAGTTGCTGAAATTATTCAAAGAAATAAAATAAAGATCATGAAGGCATTAGATCACGGATATATGCCTTTTATTGACATCATACAGGACGTAAAGAATCATCCTGTCAATGAGATTTTCCGACACCAAATTGTAATGGAAGAAACAACAAAAATATCATCTCTTGCTATTGACCATGGAAAAAGAACACCAATCAAAATTAAAAAACTTCAGGTTGGAAATTATTACAACGAAACCATCTTCTATGTGTGGAATGATGAAACAACGAAGAAGCTCGAACTCGAACTGGGATGCAGTACACTTATAATTGACCAGGACAGAGCTCATAATCTTCTCAACTTTATGCTAATGATGATAGAGAGATTCGTAGCTAATCCGGGTATTACATTAGAGGAAATGACATCATATGACGTAGCAAGTTGTAAAACTGGAATATCGACTTCAGAAAAAAATATTTCAAGTGAGTACTAAATAAATTTGTTTTTGATAATGCAAATAAGTTTTTTAAGTTCAGTAACATATATAAATATATTTATATCGACATGTATGTCAATTTGTATCAATTATAGTTTACGAAATATAATCTATACCGTTCCATTTAATTTCTTGAAGCGAAGGCATATCCATTGCAAATTGAAGCAATTTGTTATTTTAAGGATGTTCGCTACTCTGTTTCAAAATAACAAGCTTTTAAAAAGACTGTTATAAAACGATAGTATATAAATAAAGGAACTAAAAAAGCAGAAAAAAATGAAGGGTCCGTGTTCCATTTTTCGAGATATAAGCCACTGAAAATTTGGCGGGAAATGATTCTCTCTAGATTTTTATACTTTAAACATTGTCCGCTTTTCTCCTTTAAAAACTATGAAAAAATAACAAGGATTTTGTAAGATTTTCAAATATGGCTTTTAAAACTATATGTAATAAAATCATGAAAAAAAATTAGGGGTTAGTGGACAAAATTTTTTGATGGCAAAAAATTGATAAAACCAGAGGATTCCGAAAATCTGGCAAAAATTCAAAAACAAGAGGAGCGAACATCCTTAATTGGATAATACGCATACACAGAAATCTATACATGTTGCATGTATACCAAAGAAACTTTAATTTGTAGATTACGAAAAATTAGAAAATCAGAATAGAATAGCAGCACTATAGAACTATAAGACACAAGTTACAAAAATAACAATAAAGATAATTCTACAAACTCACATATAGGGAGATTGTTAGCCACACGGTCTAAGTAGTTTGTCTAGTGTGACCACTAGCCTGTCAAGACTGAGGTTATGGGTTCGAACCCCGCTCGAAGCGAGTTCTGTTCGACTACTATCTAACCTGACGTGATTTACAATTTTCCTGCCGACAGTCAGTGGTTCTCCTTGTGTTCTCTGGCGAACTGCAACTATATAAACTGGCAGCCATGATATAGCCAAGGTCTGAGTGGTGTTGAACATAAAAAAAACAACAAACAAACACATATAAATGATGTAGCATTGCTCATTTCATTTAACGTAATTTCGTTTTGACAAAACCACCATGTAAAGGCGTATCATTCAAGAACAGGGAATAAGTGCTACTCATCTCTAGTCAATGATTTAATTTACCATAAGATAATTTACAAAATTCAGCTTATAATACTATCCCCAAGTATTTCTTTAAATTATAACTTCTCTTATTTACCAAGCAATTTGAGCAATTTTTCTATCGGGAAAAATTTATGGAGAATCATTATCTTACATAATAAAATGCGTGTACCAAGTCAGGAATATGACAGTTGTAATCCATTCGTTTGATGTGTTTTACCTTTTGATTTTGTCATTTGATTAGGGACTTTCCTTTTTGAATTTTCCTCGGAGTTCAGTATTTTTGTGATTTTACTTTTTAGTGGGTCCAATTAATTGATACAATTTATGGTCCCTGGTAAAATCTAATCAGACACTTTTTTAGACCTCTCAAGTTGAGTATAAAATGCATTATCTAAAAAATACAATTATTTCTTTTCCAGATGTTTTCATGAAACAGACAAAGAAAGGTTGGGACCACGAAGTATATCTCTTCCTGGGATCAGACGATGAAAAGTTCCTAAAATGGGGGACGCGACCTCACAAGATGGAAAGGCGAATCGCATACACCGATATCACAGATCTTAGAATGGTCGATATGAATGGTAAGTCCTTGTAAAAATAAGGAGATGTGTAAACATGGTTAATAAGACAAAAATCTATCAGGGACCAAATGACGTGGATGTTAGTATCTATTTGGAATTCAACATTAAGTAAGACCCATACTTTATAGTCAGCTAACAAAAACATATTACAGACAGCAAATAGATGTACCGATTTTTTGTGAAAATAATAACAATATCAACAAGTTTCTTCACAGACAACAAATAAGAGGAACTGGCAATGTTTACCATAACTTTACCTCATTTCTAGGAAAGGAGATTTACATTATTAACCGTATTGCATGGATTGCAAATCTATTTTTTATGGTGAATAAATCTTTGACTTAACTGCCCCCTTGGTATCTTTATCCGGGTTCAAACTTGGCAATATGTTTGGATGTGAAGGTGCTGTTGGAATGTTGCTACACAAATTTGAAAATAAGAAACAAAGAAAACAAAAGTCGTCTCTCTTTTCATAAAGTTAGTTTCAATCGACTCTATTAGGTAATATCTGCGTACGTCTAGATTTTAAGCAAATCTACCTGTGTCTGTGGAAGGTATATTTATAAGAAATAATGTAATATTTTTATCTTAAATTTATAACTTATAAAGAATGATTAACGTCTTGTGTTTTATCTTTCAGATCAGACAGCTCTTATCTTATGCACAAATTCTCGGACATATATCTTCAAAACAAGCTTAAAAAATCAGGCCATGCAGTGGTGGCTTTCCATAAGGGAAAGGTCTCTTGGTAAAAGGGCGAATCCAAAAGAATTGAAAGAAACAGTTATAAAAGAAAACATTACAACTTTTGATGACACGAAAAATGAAATTGACTCTGTAGAAGAGAAAGAAGTTATAATTACTTCTTTCTGAGACTTTTTGTGTTGCGTTGTCTGAAAACCGATTTGGATGCTCTCCGATTTATCAGTAGACTTTATCTCCAATAACCCCGACAATCCGGAAAGTAATTGACGTGAGCGGAAGTTGACTTTTTGAATAAGTTTTATATTTTTATTTTTATTTTTCAAACACCTGTATTGTAAAGAAAGAGTGTAAATTATCAAAATATGCCAAAACTTCTTTCAGGTGATAAATTTATTGTTATGTTCTAAATGCATTGAAATATTTATGATGAATTTTATATATTTAGAAATTTAGAAATATCAAATATTGTACTTAACACTTAGCAGAAGAGAAATAAAAATACATTTGAAATTAAGGTCATGTGACTTTAATGACTGGATAGCAAGAAGGATACTGTGCAAGATAAGCTGTTCCCATTAAAGCAACACTGCAAAGTGATTGTTCCTATCAAAGCAACATGCATAGTGCTTTCATTTTTTTGGCGACTAGAAATAGTGAATGTAAAGTATGACATTAATCTGTATGGTTTCTTAATTATTTATGCTGTAATGGTTCTATGCATATTCTGGACCAAGAACATAATATTCAATGAGTAGGTTCTATAAAGCGAGGAGACCAGGAGGTTAGACAGCAAATTCTTATCGTCATTAAATGAAAAATGCATATTTTAGTATGACTAGAAAGTTTGTCCTGATGTAGGCGACCGAGGGCCCTAGCGTTGCTTTATGATAACTTCTAAATGAGAAACAGCTCTTATACTTTCAGATTTATAAATGATAGCTTTAATAATCTATCGCCAGCCCAGTAGTCAGCACTTTTGTGTTGATATGAAATAGCATTGATATGTTCATTTTCTGCCAATTTACTGTTTATAAAATATTGAATTATTCGAAACATCATGGTTTTTATTTTTTCCCAGGCATAGATTGCCTTAGCCCTATTTGGTACATCTTTTCTGAATTTTTAGTTTTTTTTTTTTTTGCTCTTAAACTTATGATCTATGATGAGTCAATGAAAACGTAACGGGCGTTGCGTGTAAAATTAAATGTCTCGTATCTTTGACCAGTTCTTAAATACTCTGTAAAAGATGTAATATTTCACTGCACACGAAGAATTGAGAATTTCGCAATATTGAAAGCAATCACGTGTAGTAACAGTCCAGATTATTGAAGAACAGCCTTATATTTGTAACTTGGTAAATGCAATTTTCTTAAAAATTTTCGACTTTGATCCAATTTTTTTTCGTGGTTGGTATTGGTTGACATCGGCCAAAATTGTTTGTTGTTCATTGTATTTATAAATCGGGCCGTTGATAATTGTCTTATTTAGCTAACTATTAACTATATGGGGTTTGGTTTTCTCATTGTTGAAGGCCGTAACATGAGCTGTTGTTGTTCACATTTCTATTATTTGGTTTTAAGATATAAGAAGATGTGGTATGAGTGCCAATGAGACAACTCTCCATCCAAGTCACAATTTGTAAAAGTAAACCATTATAGGTCAAAGTACGGCCTTCAACACGGAGCCTTTCCAAACAGCAAGCTCTAAAGGGACCCAAATATGACTAGTGTAAAACCATTCAGACAGGAAAACAAACGTTGTTTGATAAATGTCTTAATAGAAATCATGCAAAATTTAGTGTTAAACGTTTGTGTGCTGACCGCTTGGTTATGCTTGGTTATTTGTGTCGTTGGTTTGCTGTCTCCTAGACTTATATAAAACATTTACATTTATTCATAAGGAAGAATGTACAATGAATAGAAAATGTACCAGAGGCAGATCCAGGGGGTGTTACTGTGTGCACGTGACACCCTCCTAAGGTTGAGGAAAATGGTGCACAATATAGATTATAATTTAAATTTTGATTAAAATACCAATTAGTCTATCACTCATAATAAACGAGTGGCGAAAGTTACCAAAGGGATATTCAAACTCATAAGTCGAAAACAAACTGATAATGCCTTGGCAAAAATGAAAAATGACGAAAAGGCAAACAACAGTACACAAAACACAACATAGAAAACCAAAGACTGAACAACACGAACCCCACCAAAAACCGGGTAGGATCTCAACTTAATCTTAAAAATTAACTTATCATTCTATTTTCAATACAATTAATTACCTTAAGGCTAACAAGTATGTATGTAATTACTCATCGTTAATTACTAATTCGGTTCCTTTGATGTGGAGGTTTGAAAATTAAGAGACAATTCCCAAAATTATCCGTTTTTCTTTCTTCAACTACGTTTATTTAAATGTCGACGTATACACGTTTTATTGCTTAACTTCCCTGAACATTAATGTTTTGCTACTATGAAGTCAAAATCCAAATGATTTGTCATTTGTTCTGATTATTATTAGCACCTTAAAGCCTATACACGCCCTATATAAATGTCCTTCAAAATTTTACTTCTCACGTGTTTTACTCCCTTTTCTTCATGAAAAGTCATAAATCTGTCAAAACCTGAAGAACCAACGTCTTTTAATGGACCTAGCATTGGTATGGCTCTTGTTTCTCTCGGAGATGGATATCAAAAACCCAGACGGACGTTTTATAATCGAAAACCTAAAACTGTTTCTTGATTTTCATGCCTCGGACTTGTCTAGCCCAAGTGAACTATCGTTCAAGGTAAATGTGTGGTTGTATTTCTGGTGAATACAAAATTAACCTTACCAAAAACAGAAACTGATGGAAATTTAGAATAGTAATAAGTTTTTCTTTCCAAATATCTGTCATTCTTAACATTGTCAGCACTTTAATGGTAACCATGCAATCGAGAATGTTAGCATTCAAATAGGAAGCTAATGTTTCTGAGAACCCAGACTACTGATGGAGTCAATCAAGGATTATGCCAGGCAATAGACTAAACGCGATAAAAAGACGTAAATACTCTTTCCGAATTGGTTAAGGCTGTAGACCTAGGTCGTTGATACACATACGAACGAAAAAACTGAATGGGTCTATGAACTCACATGCTGTTTCGATTTTTAAAGACTCAAATGTTGCTAAGCAACACCTGTCCTACCTCCATCAGTACCATGACAAATATGTTGTTTTCTTCGTAGATAAAGCCCCTAACAACATCGTTTTTGTGAATGAATCACATTACGTAAACTGCTTGATAAAGGTATTAGGTATTGCCAATTCACTTGGAACCTACGCCATTTATCAAGGAGGAAATCCTGCCTGAATAATCATAGGTCAGTTCTATCTTCCTTTGTAATTTCAACCAAAGACGAAGAACTGTAACTTCCTGTACTGTATTGGATATAAACTACATAAGCGTCCTTAAAAATAACGTAATATTGCCGGGTCTCTAACCTTTTTTTAAATTATTAACATCAATTTTATCAGCAATCAAAGCCCAGCTTTAAAGTTATTGTGAAACTACCTACTCTAAGAGCGGCGTGAATCAGATAGCGGATACTTACAAATTCCAAAATTCTGTTAGAGTACATACAATCTAAGTTTCTTTTCTCTTGCTATAGTAATAAAACAATTGACTTTTCTACACTTTTATTCTCCAACCCAAACTAAAAGACAAACTCAAAGAATTGGTCCTGCTCTGTTTCATAAAAACAAATGGCCAACTTAGATACAAGTATCTTGTCTTAGAAAGGGATAAATCGTGCTTTGTGAAACATCCGTCTGTTCCGGTTGTTTTTACTTGATTCCAAATGGCAAATATCACTGTGTCTAAACTACCCCGGCAAAAAATGTTTGGACTCGATGGTATCTAATAAACGGCACGGTGACGGAACATCAATAGACAGAGAAAAGGTAGTTTTCTGTTTATTTATTTGTTATTGTTATGATATCGAAAAATATTTATACATATATAACTGTTTTCTATTGTGAGATGTAATATTTTCTACAACCGTTTTAGATTAACAGAGAAATAAGTAAAAATGCATGTCAAAATGACGAATTGAGTGAATCTTGCCTCGAATTTGTTTAATTTTTCCTTAAATTGTTCTCATAGTACGGAAAGAAAGGTATGTAAAGAAAGATATTGACATGGAGATTTCAAAACTAGTCACTTTGAGCACCTCAATACTTGTATTTCTCCGTATGGAACGAAAGAAATGGGTCGTGTCAAAATGGAAGCACCCGGTTTTGTCAATGTGTACAACCCGTTTTTGTCCTATATTTAATAAGGCAGAATCCGGTTTTGTTAAAGAAAAAAATGCATAATCGCATAACATAATAATTGAACTTCAGCAATTAAAAGGAGTTTGGTGGCTGGTTGGAAAACGATTTCTTACAGAGGACCACCTGTTATTTATTTGAATCTGTAAACACTTAATTCCGACTTTATTGGAACAAAAATAATTATAATTTTGCTTTGCATTAAAAAAAGTACTCTATAACTACGAAATAGATAGAAATGAAGGTTAAACCGCAAATTGAGTTTTAAGCTCTCTATACGTTTTATGTAAATTATGTAAATTTTAGTGTTTAAACTTAAAATTAGAGTTTATGGTCTTAAAAATTGAAGGACGCACATTTGATATGTGATTTTCTTTCACAACAGGATGGTTATCTTTATAAGTAATCCAATCTACCTAGGTGTGTTATATTTCCTATGATCGTTTAAAATAAATCTTCTTAAGGCTTAACAAATGTATATTCTGTATGCTTGCAGAATCGGCATAGAAAATGAATGTTTATGGTGAGAAAAGGATTACAATAATCATGCATTAAAAATCAAATCTATCTATCCCTAATTGTAACTATAATACTAAGTATAAATTAGTATTATAATAGTCTCAGGCCATCGAGAAAATGGTCAGTTTATTAATAGTTGTATAAATAAACGGTTCTGTTATCTCTCCATTGTGTTATGATTAATGTACATTGACGTTGGTCAATATATTATTGACAATATATAGGGACGGATTTAGGTTTTTTCAAAGTGGGCGTAATTCAAACAGCTTACATACCGCAGACCGTAGCGAAGCGAACAATGTTTTGAACGAATTATGCTAAAAAAAATCGTAAAAAGATTTTTTATTTTTTTTTGGCCATCAAAGGTGGTGTGGGGGCGTGTGACCTATACGCCGCCTGGATTCGCAACTGATGTTATATAACTAAATCGTATACCAACTTAAAATTTTATAAGAAATAAGAAAGCAGGGACACCAGCAAAATTGGATGTATGTGAGTAGGATTATCATGTTTATTCTAAAAATTCACATTGATATTTTGGAATTGTCGGAATGCGAGACAAAGGGATACAAATTCGTGGCGGCTTGAACTATTTGTATGAAGCTTCATATGTCAGAAGTTAGAAGGCCTGACTGCAACATACCTCGCACACAGATCTTTTATGTAACGATGTTTCTATCTGTCAT